ATGTGGGCTTTATAGATAATTGGAAAACTTTCTGGGGAATACCTGGTCTTGTTAGGAGCTACAACATCCAATCCTTGGATGGAGCTAATCTCTTTTCTAGGAATCTGGTCAAACCCCCCAAACTATCCAGAGTTGAGACCAGGAAGCAGAGTTTCAGTCTGGTAAATGGATTGGTTCTTATATAGTGCTCTTCCACTCTGAGCACTCAGTGTTCATACAGTGCACAGTCTGGAGCAGACAGGGATCAAACACCAACCTTCCGATTAGTAGGTGACCTGACTGTGTCAGCTCCAGACCACCAAAAGACACCACCGCCCACCACATAAACACAAAAAGTCCCAAAGAAAGAACAATGTGGTATCTACAACTATTGCGGGGTCTACCGTGTTATTGTGTGGTCTACCTTACAGTATAAAGCGCCTTGACGCAACTGTTGTTGTGATTTGGCGCTATATAAATGAATTCAATTGAACTGAATTACAACTGCACTAAAGAGTAAAACAGTGAAATGCAGATTATTAAGTCTCTCTCTTAAGTTCCTATTGGTACATGAATTAATAATTCATCAACGTATAGATGTACTCTGCCTTACGGACACCTGGTTACAGCAGGTGGATTATCTTAGTTTAAATGAATCAACAGCCCGAGTCGTACTAACTGTTACAATCCTTGAAGCTCAAGTTGAGGCGGGTGAGTGGCAACAATCTTCCACTCGAGGTTATCAATCAACCAAAGACCCAGAAAGTGTTTTAATTGTATTTGTTGATATTTGTCGTCCTCCTGGACCTTAATCAGAGTTTCTCTCTGATGTCTCCAGGTCTACCCTGGGCCTGCTCCTGGAAAGACATGCCCAGCCAAAACACCTAGCCCAGGAGGCGACAGCCTTAGCTGTCTCCTTTCGATGTGGAGCAGCAGCACTGCTCTGAACACCTCCTGACTGACTGAAGTCCTCACCCTATCGCTAAGGCAGAGCCCATCCACCTTTCTGAGAAAATTTCCACGGCTTGTATCTCAGTCTAATTGTGTTAACAAGAAGATCGGACTGAGATACAAGACTCCCCCAAACAACAATGCACCACCTGGTGGCGGATGGATGCATAACATTTAGGACACAATAATTTACTGACATTGGGCATCACATAAAAACGTAACAATTAGATTAAACAAGTAAATC